CCCGCCATCCCCGCCCCCGCCCGCACCTGGAGCAGTTTCCGCAGTCGATGATGGCGTTGTAGGAGGCGTTCACCGAGCCGAAGTAGTACTGGGTCTGCTTCATGACGCAGCTGCTCTCGCGCGCCTCGGGGCTCCCTTCGGCCTCCGCGGGGTCTGCCGGTCCCAGAGCGCCTCAGCCCCGCCCGCAGACCCTGAGCCCGCCTCCCTTTGGACCCGGGTCAGGGATGCGAAGACCAGCCTCCCAAACCCAACCTACCCGCCTGGAACCAGCTGTGGCAGACTAGGCCGTAGAGCAGCTGCTGGAACAGAGACCTGCAGAGCGAGGCGCACCGAGTCAGCGGAGGCCAGAGCCTCGCCTCACTTGCAAGCCCGCGGGGCCAGCCAGGGCCTCTTCTGCCTTCCTTCCGCAGGACTCACCAGGCGGCAGCAGAGGTCCACCAGGCCAGGTTAAGGAAGTCTGCAACGGTGGGCTGTGGAGAGGGGCATGGCTGCACTGCTGCCTCTCCCCTTAGGCCGCCCCCAGCTGTCTGATGTCACAGGTGGGGGGTCGTCTGTGGTCAGGTCTCCCCGCCCCCATCTCCACTCATTTCTTAGGACTCACCACAAAGACACCCCGGGGTGCAGCACCCAGGTTGCCCGGAGGCTGGGGGGCACAGGCTGCCTGATAGTCGTAGGACTCCTTGCGGGTGTAGAAGGAATTGTTGTAGAGTGCCAGCATCAGGTTGGCATCCACCTCACTGAAGAACCTGCCAACCTGGGGATGCCAGGAGGGGGCAGTGGTCACAGGGCTGGCAGAAGCCTACCCCCTTATGCCCTCCTCCACCCTCCTCCTCCTGACCCTCACCTGGTCCCACTGATGGTTCTGGTTTGACAGCACCAGGAACCCTCCGTCATCAATGAGGACACACAGTAGGTCCTGAGAGGTGGGGAGGGACAGGAAAATGGAGAGGGGGCTGGTCCCAGACCCTCCACTTCCGGCCCTGGCGCACCAATGGTTCAGTGTGTGGGGGGCATCCCCCATCCTGGTTAGGCTGTGAGGTCGGGGTGGGGCTGCTGGGACCCAAAGGCTAGGGGATGGGCTTGAAGTCACAGCTGGGACAAGTGGGGGAGCTGGGGCCCAGGGCATACGCACCTCATTGTTAACCTCACAGTCCATCTCACAATGGCTGCTGGGGCCACACTGCTGGGCAGAGAAGGAGGACTGTAAGGCACCCACCGGCCTTCCTCCCTGTGTCACTCAGTTCCCCAGGGCCTCTGGCGTAGCCCCTGCCTTCTGGGAGGTGTTGGAGCTACCCTTGAGTGGGAGGCTTGGTAGGAGTCCCTGGGGCTCCAGAAAGGACACTGCCAGGCTTACCCCTTCTGCAGACCTCATACCTTCTGAGGCTGGTCCTGGTGGGTGCGGTTACTGGCAAGCACCTTGAACTTCTCAGCCCAAGCCTCCAGGTCCAGCTTGACGCCCACCACTGCGTGAGAGAGGAAGGGGCCTTCAGTGCTCCCCGTCTGGGACGCATGCTGCTCACTGCCTCTTCCCCCTCCTCTGCCCCAGGAACACACCTGCGGGCCTCAGTGTGCGCCCACTTAGGCTGAGCTCCACGGCTGTGCTGACAAGGACGCCCACGGTGTCGTTCTCCAGTTCCAGCGGCCTTAACAAGGCTGAGGTGGGGTGGATGGCAGTCAGGGTGGGGGCTGGTGGCCACACTGACCACTCCAACTGGACCGTACCAACCCAGGGCTGACCGTAGCCTAAGCACCCAGCACCTAGCAGTGTTTGGCACAGCCCAGCTCTTGCTTCACGTCTGCCCTGGTTTCCGCAGTGCCACATTTGAGAGGGGCCTTGGAGAACACAGCCTAGCTTTGCCTGAGCAGCCAGGATGCTGAGGCTTCCCACCTGCTGCTGGGTACCCTGGACAGACACTCACTGTCCTGATGTGGGGGCTTGAAGATATAACCGTGGTTATCCAGGCTGCGGCGGTAGAAGCTGGCATTGAAGGGTTCAGGGTTCTCTGTCCAGTCCTCAGCTGCCCTGGAGCACCCAAGGGAGGCAGAGCTTGGTGAGTAAGGGGTCGTTTGTGGGGGACAGTGGTCTCAGCAGCGCAGAGAGGTCTCAGGGTGGCAGAATAGGGACAAGGTTCCAGACAGGGCAGGTGCTGGAGAGTGGGGTAGGTCACTTACTTGTTGGGGAAGACGCGTGTGATGCCACCATCGGTGGCAGCAAACACGGCCAGCAGGCTGTACCTGGGGGCAGCAGGGAGGTGCGGTCACAGGCCTGCCTTCTGCTGGACAGGGCCAGGGCCTCTGGGCCCATCCCAGCCTCCTGCCCCTGCAGCCTGGGTGGTGCGTACGTGTTGAGATCCTGGTCCCGCCACACGCGCTCCACCAGCTGCTGTGTGATGCCTGTGTCCAAGATCAGGTTGTGCAGGAGGAAGTTGTTGCCTGGAACAGAGAGGCCGCATGGAGGGGATCTTCCTGCAGCAGCCCACCCACCCTCGCCTCCACCCGCGAGCTTCCAGAAGGAGCCTGGCCTGGCCTGGGCCTTGGGCCAAGCCCTGGCCTGCGCTTGCGCCTGCTCCTTTTGTATCTTCCCAGTATCCAGGTTCCTCCGCTCCGCCCCCACACTGCCTGGGCACCGCCCAAATCCAGTTTCCCTGCCCGACACTCACACTGCTTGGAGTCTGGAGTCACTTTCTCCATGAGTTCAATGAAGTTTTTCAGGAACTCGGTGTTGTTGTCTGAGGCATTCAGATCCTTGCAATACTCTCTGGGGTGGGGGTGGGGGCAAGAAGAGTGGGCTTGGGGAGCTGGACTGGGCGGTGCGGTCAAGGCTTCCCAGCAGGCCTTCCTGGCCACTCGCTGAGAAGCCCAGGCCTCAGGAAGGGGCTTGTGTGTTCTTACAGGCCGCAGCTGCTGTGTGCCTGCAGGCTGCCAGGTCTGAGCTGAGGTAGCTGGGGCTACACGAGAATGGTCTGCTTCCTCCACCTTGGTGATTCTCCTGGTCTTGGCCCTGTAGAACCTCCCATCTCTCCTGCATAGGTGGACCTGGATGGTGTGCCTGGGTGGCCTTAGAAAATGCCACCTACATGCCCTACAGGATTCTTTTTTTTTTTTGGTACTGGGAATCAAACTCAGGACGTTGTGCTTGCCAGGCAGGCGCTTATGCCACTGAGCTATATCCCCAGCCCACAGGATTCTTGCAGCCACAAGGCAGGACTGAGTACTAGCCTTGGCCTCTGCACCTTGCCTCTTCCTGGCTGTGAACCTTTGGGGAGTTCACTCAAGATCCCTGAGACTCACTTTCCTCACCATAGCAGAGGGTACAAGGACTGAGTACGAACTGTGAGTCCTCAGGTTGGCTCTTCCCCTTCTCTAAAATAGTCTTGTCCCGCCAGTGGGCAAGCCAACCCCTCACCTCTCCCAGGCCCTCCCTGGGATCAGGCTCTGGGTCCAGAAAACACGGAGAGTGTGGTAGGGCCTGCCTGGGGCTCTGCTGTCTAGAAGTCTTGGTGAGCACTTCTCTATGCTGATCGATGGAGCCGTTTCTCCTGCCCAGTGTTCCTGCTACCAGGGCCTCTCCAGTGGCCTGTGTGGCAGCTACTCTGTGGGAATTTTTTTTTTGTCTTTTTGAGACAGGGTCTCACTATGCAGTTCAGGCTGGCCTTGAGCTCACTTTGTAGCCCAGGTTGGTCTCGAACTCACAACAGTCCTAGTGCTTCAGCCTCCCTGGGATTACAGGTGTGCGTCACCAAGCCTGGCCTACTCTGTGGAAATTTTAAAAATGTGCCACGTCCCCAGGCTGTGCTAGGGCTCAGAGGGGGGAACTGACACTGGGTCTCAGCCCTTGTCTACTCCCTGGTCCCCAGGGCCTTTATGCAGTACACACCCTGTGCTTCTGTGCATGGAGGCCACAGCTGGCATTCCCAGAGTGACACCCTCACAGCTGTATCCCAGACATGCCGTACATGTGACAGGTGCCGTCACAACTGCAGGGCGCTTCATTCACTCACCCTACATGTTTACTGAGATCTTCTGAGCCAAAGATGCAGAGGTGACAGAAAGAGTCCTGCCCCTCAGAGAGGGACCTCAGGGTCGCGTGGGTCACACACCTTCCCACCGTCACTAATACACAGAACCCACCCTCATTTATACCCCGAGTCTTCTTTTTTAGACAGGGTCTTGCTGTGTAGTTCAGGCTGGCCTTGAACTCAGTGATCCTCCTGCCTCAGCCTCCCAGGGGCTGGGATTACAGGCGTGTGCCACCCTACCCAACTCTACACTCCGACTCTTACACATGTACACGACTCACAAATACGCACACAATTCTACAGAGGGGGTCACAGAGAAGTCTGTGGGTGCATGCACGCATGAGCGTATGCACGGAGGTTTGGAGTGTCCAGAGCCCCCATGTGGTGCCTAGAATATGTTTGCCCACTGCACCTACCTGCCCTCATCCAAAACCCAGGCCACAGAGGCCTTCAGCGGCCGGGGCCCTGGCCTCCTCAGACGTGGGCCAAAGGCCGAGTGTGCGCGCGAGGGTGTGTGTGCATGCTGAACGTGCGCTCCAGGGATGGCCCAGGCCAGGCTGGCCCTAGGCCCTGACCCCTCTCTGGCAGAGCAGCTCAGGGCCTCTGGCTTCCTCCCTCCCACCTGTCCTCCCTTCTCAGCGAACCACCACTCCTAGCTCGGCACTGCTGACGGGGGCTCTGGCTGGCTCAGCCCTCAGACCCACGCAAACACTGACAGACACAGGACAACAAAGGGTGCAGGTGGGGGATGGGCAGGACACCACAAACCAGAGCAGCAGCTGCCTAGCAAGGGACTCCTTCCTGGTGGCCTAGGGGGCGGGGAAGGTGAGCAGAGTCCAGAACCCTGCTGCCCCAGGCTGGTGGGAGATGGGCTGTGGGCCACCGGCCCCTGCTGCCTGGTGCGGCGACATGGCCTGGGTATGTACACAGCCGCACATACCAGGCTATGTATGAGGGCTGGTGGCGGGGGCAACACTGCACAGGACACAGACACACAGAGCTCCAGGCAGCGGTGCAGGAGGTGGGCCAGGGCGGTTGGGGTGGGGGAGGACACCTCAGCAAGGCCACACGCAAGCTACCTGGGAGCAATGAAAACATGTCCTTCAGACTCAAAGCTGCTGGGGAGCAGGAACTCAAAATCTGCAACAGAAATGGGGGGTTATCCGGCGGGGGCTGGGGAGGCAGGAGGCTAGGGGGCTCAGAGCTGACAGGGCTGGAGGGCAAGGAAGAGGGTGGCTTGAGGGACGGGGAGACACCGGCAAAGAGGGAACCCGCCATTTCCACTTTCAGGTTGGAGCCAGAGAGAAGGGACAGGTGAGGGGTGGGGGCCTGTGGAGACTACGGCATCACAGGAGGAGGGCAGTTATAGCCAATATGTTGCCCAGGCCTGGTCCTCTGTCGGCAGTGATCCCTTGGCGTGGCTGTATATGCTTCCATACGGCTGTATAGCACATATACACGGACACACACACACACACATATATATACACACACTGCTATATATATGCATGGTCTGGGGGAAGCGCCAGTCTTGCTCTTATTACATCCACAGTGGGAAAAAAACCACATGCTGAGCTTCCTTTGCCTCCAAAGAGACTTTGTGGCAGGGAATTGGCTTTTGGCTGCGGATGTTTATCTTTCTTTGCCGCAGCTGTTTGCATTTTGGTAGGTCTTGCTTTTGTTCTGTGTCAGGCATCAACATGGCCAAACCGAGGGGTTTCTCATGGGCACAGACAGTCCAACCAGAGACGTGTGGGGAGCTGGAGGTGGATGGCAGTGCATCATGGGCGTCTGGGGGCCTCTCTGGGACTGGGCGTGCGTGGCACCTCACGCCTGCTTTCCTGGGCGGGGAGCATGAGGAGCAAGTGGGGAAGAAGTGCTGTGTCTCCTCCCTTCCTGGACAGGTTGGGCTCAGAGCAGTGGGGAGGAATGCTGGGGGTGCCTGTGGAGGGGTCCACCGGTTAGGCATTGTCCTGAGTTTATGAGCTGTGCGTGTGTGTGAGCACAGGTGCGTGTGTGTGTGTGTGTGTGTGTGTCTTTGGATAGATCTATGAGTAAATCGGAGGATGTGGCCAAAGGGCCTCACTGTGGACGGGCCGCTGTGTTGGTCCGCCTCTGGAGGGGTTCCTTTGCCCTTGGCCTGTCTCACTCTAGGCAGTCCCCTGTCCTAATCTGTCTTTACCTACATCCCAAACTCTCTCTTGTGCAGAGGAGGGTTTCTTCCCTGTTCTCAGATACTCCCATGATGCACTGCAAGGGTCTCAGTAGGGGAGACTTGGGATGCCTTGAGAGGCTGGGCAAGTCACTGGTTGGACTGTTCCTTTCTGATAGGACTATGAGGTAGGGTTTGTACACAAGCCAAAGGGGAAGGGTAGAGGGTAGGGAGAGGAGGAGGAGAAAGAAAAGGGGGAGAAGGAGCAGGGAGGGAGACTACGCTATGGTTGCCATGGTTACCGGGGACCTGTAGTTCTGGGGTCACTGGGTGGGATGTGGGAGAACCGGAGAAAAAGACAACTCAAGGCAGTGGGGGTAGGGCACAGCCTCCAGCCCCACCCAGGCAGTGGGGGTGGCTGTATTCCTCCCGCCCAACTAGGCCCGACAGGGCCCCTCGTGCATTTTGAGGAGCCCCTACCTCCCGCTCAGGAGGACAAGCCCTGTGGCTCTGCATGGCTGATCTGCCCAAGTTTTCTGTGAGAGGGTGGCCCTTTCCGCACTAGTGGCAGAGACCTTTGCGTGCTGTCTCCTCTCACCCTCAGAGCTCACCTTTCTGGAAGTTCTCCGGCTTGGGCACCTCACAGTGCCAGAATCCTTTTCTTCATACCTAGCCTGGTTTCCCACAAGCTCTTTTGCTGGCCCTCGGGGTCCAGACAGATCCCGTTCTGTACCTGGCCAGGTCCACGGTCCTTGTGTCTGACTTTACTTCTCCAGGGGAACACATTTTCCACACCCGCCAGTCCTCACGAGGGACAGTGAGTACCACAGGTGGGGCTGGGCCAAGGGGTCTCAGCAAAGCCTCTTGGGGCAGTGGGAGCAGCAGAATCGTGCAGCTTTAGCACCTCAGCCAGTGCCTGGGATGAGGCGTCTACCTTGCTCATCCTGCGCCCTGGCTGCCTGCCCATGTGCCCCTCTGCCCCAGGGTCTTCTCATTCCTTCTGTGTCCCTTCTTGGAGGGCTGCCAGCTGCTGGAGCCACTGCCAGAGTTCAGAAGAGGGTGAGCTGTGCCCGAGGGAGCCTCGAAGAGGCCCCTCTGAGGGCTGATCTACCTCCTACACTGGCATCTTTTTTTTTTTTCCGGTACTGGGAATTGAACTCACGACCTTGCACTTGCCAGGCAGGTGCTGTGCCGCTGAGCTAAATCCCCAGCCCCCTACCCTGGCATCTTGAGCCCTTCCCTTGCTGGGCGGAACGGGGTGGAAAGGCACCCAGTGCTGCCCCCACTGTTGAGTTGTCTTGGAGGGCCAGAGGAGGTGAACGGGTGGGGGCAGAGCCTTCCCAGGGAGAAGGAGTACACGGGAGGGGCCTGGGCTGCAGACACTTGGAGATCTCCCTGCAGGCAGGCCCAGGGAAAGGGCCGCTGGCTCTAAGGTGCTTAGGAATCAGAGGAAAGGCAAGAACTGAGGAGCCAAGGGATGCTGGGAGGGGAGCCCCGGTGGGCGGGGTGTGGCTGGTCCTGGGCAGGGAGGGGGGCAAGCAGGGGTGTGAGGGCGGGCGGGGTGGGGAGAGGAGGGTGCACTGGTTCTGAATATACTTGCCCTTCAGTTTGCTGATTGGCACTGGGACAGTCCACCAAGAGAGAAAGCGAGGAAAACAAAAACACAAACACAAAAACAAACGAAAAGGGGGAGGGGAAGGGGAGGGGCACAAACAATATTTTATTCAATGACTGTTTGAATGAAAATATTGTGTCTCATCATCATACCGAAAGGAAACTTCTTGCAAAAAAACGACATGAGAGAGAGAGAGAGAGCGAGAAAACTCAAAGGAGATGAGCCCCAGTCGGCCAGGCAGGTGGGGGGCACCCGGTGGGGCCGGAGCCCCAGCCTCCCTCCCAGTGACCTCGGGCGGGTGCGGGCAGGCAGGCTGGGCCAGGCCCGAGACCCAGTCCTCTCCAAGAGGCCCAGGGTGAGCAGGGCATGCAGGGTGAGGCACAGGCAGAGGACAGGAAGGAGGGGGGGAAGGGAGAGAGATGGGGAGACAGGGAGAGGTCAGTCCGCAGCAATGGGAGAGGGATGGGGGGCAGGAGGGAGAAGGGAGCGGAGCAGGAGGGAAGGGGCCAGGAGAGGGCAGGGCTGAGGTCAAGGGACTGTGGGAAGTCGGGTGCTGGGCAGAGAAAGGAAGTGGGGAGAGAAATGGAGACCGGAAGGAGGGGAGTGGGAGGAAGTGGAGGTGGAGGTGCGGTGGGAGGGGATGGAAGAAGGGAAGGTGGAGGAGGAGGGTGTGGGGGGTACAGGGAGGTCAGAAAGGCAGAGGGGCAGGAGCGGCAGAGAGGAGGCGAAGGCAGTGACCTGGGGGGGAGAGGGAGGGCCACCCGGAAGCGGCCCCACTCGGGGAGCAGGGGGAGGCGAGTGAAGGGGGGGTGTCTTCCAACAGTGCAGCCCCCAGGGGTGTTCAGGGCAGGCAGGCTAAGGAGGGAAGACACGGAGTAGGAGAAACCAAAAACAGAATCCTCAACAGAAATCATGAGAGAATGGTCTGGAACCAAATCTGAGAAAAGGCGAGCATGCAGATTTCCACAGACTTTCAAAGGCTGGAGCCCCAGCCTGTGGGCGCCTGGGCTGGGCAGACGGGTGGGGGCTGCGCAGCAGGCTCTGCTGCCGGGGCCGGCCAGGGTGCAGGGGCAGAGGCAGGGTGCAGGGTGCAGGCAGGGGCCGGGCCACTTACACTTGACCTGCAGAATCTGGTCGCTGAGGTTCGCTTGGAGGTAGAAGGTGCTATAGGGTGGGAGCACTAGCCCCAGGCTGTGGAGCAGGAGAGAGGGAGCAGTGGTCAGCGCTGGGGAGAGGGGGTCTGCACTGGAGCCCCTTCCGCCTGGCTGTGGGGCCGGGCATCAAGGCCCGGGTTGTGGCAGCCTGGGTGTCGGTGCCTTAGATACAGCAGGGGCCCAGTCCTCTGCACCCCCAACTGTCTCAGAGGCCTCGAAGCAAATCTCCACCCCATCCACCTCCCGCAGCACCCCGCCTGTCCCACTGCAAGCTCCCAAGGGCAGCACATTGTGAGTGAGTGAGCTGCAGTCCCTGTGGGAGCAGCGGAGACCAGGACCCGGGGCTGGCAAGGGGCGCACACACGCTGGGCCTGGTGTGCGCAGCCCCTGGACTTCAGGGTGGGCCAGCCGTGCAGGGCATGAGAAGACCTGTGCTGGCTCAGCCTGACCCACAGGGAACCTGCCCTGAAGCTGTGGTGCTGGGGGAAAGCGGGCAGTGAAAGTGCTGTGAAGATACCCCGGGCGGATGAGAGGGGCAGAGGCACTGAGGACACATCCGGTGCTCTGTCCCATCTTCCCACGACCTGCTGTCTGGGGACTCTGTCCCAGGTGAGCAGCGAGGAGCCTGGCTGCTGGTGCCCCGTGGGGTGACCGTCCCAGCAGAGGTGGGGAGGAGGCCCCCACCCCGTGCTTGCCCGGCCCCGGCCCACTCACCTGTAGTTGGTGCTCCGTATAGGCACCCAGGTGTAGTTCCGAGTCACCTCGTCTATGTACCTCTGCGAGAGGAGGCGGCGTCAGGGTCAGGGGCGGGCTCGCAGGCCGGGGTGGCGGGTGCAGGCGGCTGCCCACTCCGACTCCGTGTCTCCCGCCCCTGCTTCTCACCTCGTCCAAGGATTTGACCAACGTTCTGATCTGCCTGTGCCCCTTGCTGCCATCGATCATGCTCCGCCGGATCTGGAAGGGCAGAGCTGTGACCGCCTCTGCTCTCTGCCCGCCTCCCCAGCCCTCCTTCCCATCTCCCCTCACCTCCTCCTTGTTCTCGTCCTCCAGCTCTGCATCCAGAAAGTCCAGAGTTACGGGCTCCCGGAAGTTAGTGGTCTGGGGGAGGCAGGGCAGGACGTCAGGTGTTCTCACCTTACAGGGTTCCCCCACCCTCCAGTCACCCTTCTGGCTCACCTGGGGCTTGAGATTGGGGTGCAGCAACACGTAGCCATTCAGATCGATGGCAAACACGTAGCCGTTGGCTCCAAGCTGGGGGTACACATGGGAGCTCAGGATCTGGAGGGCTGGGCTCTGGAAGCTCTTGCCCATTCTGTCTCCCACGCTGCCAAGGAGGCTGTTTGCCTGCCTTGGGCCAAGGCCCCCCAGCTAGGCTGGAATGCTGGGCGACCCTAAGGACCAGCCCTGCCAAGGCATTCTGCCATCTGAGGTTCCCAGGGAACTGCCAGCCAGTCCCACCTCTCTGCCTCCATGGGGCCGAGGCTAAGTACTGCTGGTACTGCTGCTGCTTTGTGTCTCCTCCTCGTCCTAGCTCAGGAGAGCGCAGCGGGAGGAGGCAGGAGAGGACTTCTCCAGGTGAAGGGAAGTAGGAAGGAGCAGCGCTTTGGGCCTGGTCCCTACCTCTGAGCAGTTTGCTCCGTGTATATGGAGGCCCAGCCACAGTCACTGCCCTCTCAGGGCCAAGCAGGGGCTTCATGTAGCTCAGGCCTAAGGCAGCCGTCACACACGCCCATCTCCTGCCCTTTGCACAGCCAGGACCCAAGTTCCCTAACCAAGGGCCCTGGGACACCACGCCACTACCCCGGCCCTTCCTTGGTTCAGGACTGTTTTCTGCCCTCAGGTCTTTCCCAGTGAGTTCTCTCCCTCCAATGTACGCCTTCCCCTCCTTCATGCCCAGGATACTCCTGCCTAGGCACAGGGACCACGTCCGGCCTGCTGCTTGCTATTCTAAAGCTGTGAACTAAGAAATATTTTCTCTTTGTGGTATCGAGGATCGAAGCCAGGGCTTTGACACATGCTAGTCAAGTGCTCTGCCCTTTTTTATTTTGAGGCAGGATTTCACTACGTTACCCAGGCTGGCTTTGAACTTGCCATTGTCCTGCCTCAGGCTCCCGAATAGCTGGATTACAAGTGTGCACCAGTGCATCCAGCTCTAAGAATGGGTTTGTTTTTAAGTAGTTAAAAAAAAAAGATAAAGAAAACATTCTGTTTCATGACATGTAAAGATGGTGTGAAATCCAAATAACAGCACGAGAAATAGAACTGTGTAGGGGCACAGTTACTCCGGGTGCTTATGTTCTCTCTGTGGCTGCTCTCACAACGCAGCCGCAAAGAATAAAAAGGGTGTTAGCCGGGGATGTAGCTCAGCGGCACAGCGCCTGCCTGGTAAGGGCAAGGTCCTGAGTTTGATTCCCGGTATTAAAAAAAAAGAAAAAAGACATGAAACAGAATGGATGTTAGGCTGGTAAAGCCCAGAATATTCACAGCTTGGCCCTTTGGAGAAAGTTTGCCACACTAGCTCCAGGGCCAAGGCCACCTCCCAGCGCAACCCTCCCTGATTCCTTGAACTCTGAGGTCAGCATGGAGGTGCTGTGAACCCCCCGAGTCCCCTTGGCTGAGCCTGGTTTGTACCCACATGGGAGGCAAAGCAGGGCAGGAGTGCAAGTGGACACGCACCGTGTAGTTGGGAGTCAGCCTCTTGATATCGTTCAGAGCCACGTCGATGCCCATCACCCCGAGGATCAGCTGGTTCTGGGAGGAGACGCATGGGGGCAGGTCTGCAACAGGCTCAGTTCCATGAGGGAGGTCCCCCGCCCAGGCCCTACCCCCAGGCCTCAAGTTGCTCTCATGGGCCCATTCCTCCTCCACCCCCAGACCTGCAGCGGGGTACCCAACCCTCCCCAGGCACCCTCCCCCGTGGGGACCCTCACCTTCTTTTCCCCAGGACCATCTTGCGTCAGGTTGAACACAGGGAGGGTCCCTGTGACCACCAACCCCAGCCCCTGCAGGAAGAGGAGGATGGCCAGTTCCGGCCTCACCTGAGTGCTCAGAGCAGCGGTTCAGGTGGAGCTTGTCTTTCCTTCTCCTCTGCCCGGTTAACCCCAGAGGGGGTACGCAAGGGTCTTGGCCCTGGGGCCTGTCCCTGGGGAAGGTGGCCAGCCCCCTTCCTCGGCAGAGGCCTTACCAGTGCGTCCTCATACACGTTGGTCCACTGCACCTGCTTGGCCTCCTTGCCTGCCAGCACCATGGGCCTGCCCAGCACGTCCAGATACTCCTGGGGAGGGGCATCAGGGCTTATTGGTGCCCTCCTCACTCTTTTCTGCTTCTCTGTGCTTAGGATTGTCCCACAGCCGCCACCAGAGGGCACTAAGCCCACGGCAGCCCAGAGCGCCGAACCAGGGACGGTGAGGAGTGAAGGGCTGGCGGGCGGCCGCAGTCTCACCTGCGTGTTGATGCGGATGGCTCCGATGGAAGGAATCTCGAAGTAGTAACCTGGGAAGGGAGCAGGGGCAGCGTGGGCTGGGCGGCCTGCGGGGACCCACAGCGTCGGGGGTCCTGCTCTGTGGGGTACTTGGGTAGTCCTGCCTTGCTTCTTAGGCTCCCTCTAGCTTTGGTGTCCCTTCCCCCAAACTCATATTCCTCTGTGCTTCCCGCCACTGCCTGTCCCTCAGGCCAGTGCTACGGAAGATGACCAGGGGCATCGGGGGAGGAAGGCTGAGCACAGTGACACCGTCTCGCTCTAGGACAGCATCACCATTCAGAGTCCACCCAGCAGCCAGGCCCAAGCGTACAGAGAGGGATTGACTGGCACATATGCAGAAGCACACAGTCTGGGAGACAGATGGACGATGGACGGACGTCAAATGGGCAAGAGACGCTCAGTCAGAAGGACAAGTCAGACAGCCCGTGGACACCCACGTGTATGGAAAGATTGACTAGATGGACAGACAGCTGGCCACACGGATGGACAGTGGGCAGCGGGCCCTGGCACCCTGGCACTGACATCAGAAGCGATACCTTTGTTGGTGCAGGCCATCCACTGCAGCGGGGTGACGTCGTAGTTATGCTGCCCCACAGAGAAGGTGAACACACGGACCTGTGGGGGGCTTCAGGTTACTGCTGTAGCCGTCGAGGACAGCTCGTCCTCGTCCAGGACCGAATCGGGGCACCCCCCCCCAGGCCTGGCCTCACCGTCCGATTGGGCCAGTTGTACTTCTCGAAGACGTCCTGCACACGGTCCTCACCGCCGTCCGTGAACATCATGATCATCTTATTGCAGTTGGCCCGGGTGATGTTGGACTGGGCAGGGGGAGCGTGGAGTCAGGGGGCTCTCAGCTTCCACCCCTGGGGGGCAGTGCCTCCCTCCCCTGGCAGGCTTGGCCTTCCGGCGCCCACCCCGTGCCCCCAGTAGATGGTGCTATCTGTCCATGTCGCCTGTTTGGTGCTAACAAGGGTATCAGTCTTTATTTCCCGGTGTCATGAAGCCTGGCCCTCGCCCGCCCCTGTCCACCCAGCCGTCCACCCGTGGGGCTCACGTTCTGCAGCTGGTCAAAGGCATACTCAAAGCCAGCCTTGTAGCCGGTGGTGCCCTTGGCCACCATGCCCTGCACGGCCTCCTTGAACACCTTCTTGTTACGCACATTGGCTTGCACCAGGTGTGTGAAGCAAGACACAGGCTGTGCCTTCTCGTTGAACTGCAGGAACAGTAAGGTGGCGAGGGGCCTCAGGCTGGCTGAGTAGGCAGCTGGTGCACAGGGCTGCAGCGGTCAGAGCAACAGGGCAAGTGGGGGTGACCAGTGCCCCACCTGCCCGCCGCCCTGGCACTCACCGATGCCACATTCACAAAGTCGTCATCAGACAGCGTGTCCAGCATCTCACAGACAGACGTCTTCATCAGCTTCAGCGTCAGGCCACTCACACTGCCACTCCTGAGGAGGTCAGCCAGGGGCCGTTGGGGCCCTCAGGTGTCCTCCTGTCCTTCCCCCAACAGGGTCTAAGCCAGCAGAGCCCAGCCCCAGCCCCGTCCCGCCCTGCCCGCCAGCACTGCTCACTCACACGTCCACGATGATGACCATGTCCTTAGGTGACGAGGCCCCCTGGATATACCTGTCCAGGAGAAGTTCATGGAGGGCCGGCTCACTAAGGCCTCCCTGGTGGGCCCGTCCTCCCATTACACAGGGTGATTTATGTATTTCTACAGCGTATCCACTGCATGGGCCATACGGGGTTCAGGTACTGGGGAGACCATGCTTAATAGAACAGGCAGCCCCAGCCCACCACGCAAGTGATCCGCTCCCTCGGCAAGTAAACAAGCCCAAGGGGCGGGTGAGCAGGTGGTCCTCCGACTGAAGGGCTTGCTGTCCCCTCCGGCTGCTGTGTATGGGATGGAGCGGGGAGTCCTGGGGTACTGCAGGAGGGGCATGGCAGAGGGTGGGCATCTCTAGGGGTCCAGTGGGTGGGGCCACATCCACTCTGGGACGCCCCCACTGGTCTGCTCTCTCACTCCCAAAGGGGTGGGGGCACCGGGTGAGGGGACGGGGCAGCAGCAGCTGGGAGGGCTGCCTGGGTGATGGGATCCATTTTCCAGTGGCAACGATGTGTGAAATGAAAATTGGATAGAGCTGGCTGCGCCCTGTTCGGAGGCCTGGATATCGGGAGGGAGGGGGAGGCACAAGTGGGGAGCGGAGGCGGTGCCCTGCCTGGCCCCTCTGCTCGCTCACCAGGGTCTCCTGCGGACGTCATACAGGTCAATCTTCTTGGGGGCTCGCCAGGAGGTGGCTGTGGAAGAGAAAAGGTGACGGTCCTGGCAGGGAAGGGCCCGGCCCGGGTGGACAGGCCTGTCAGGAATGGCCACCCCACCCAGTGCCCCCCTCGATGGGTGGCTGGTGGAGGGAGCAAGGCAGGTGCCGGAGGGATAAGGCAGGTGGGGCGGCACCTGCCTGGGTAGTAGCGGGTGACTCCGGTGGCGCTGCCGAAGACCTGCCACAGCAGCGTGGGGTCCTGCCTGCGGTTCTCGATGAACACATTCTCCAGGGCTTCTGTCCAGTTCAGCTCATTGAGGATGACAGTGGCTGGGGTCGGGGGAGGAAGGGAGCTAGGCTGGGGTGGCCTGGGCTGTGCCCTGCCTTATACACCACCATGATATTCGTGCCCAGGCCCCCGTTCAGCCTACCTGCTCTGTCCAGACTCTCCCTCATCTAGGGCCCCAGCTGGGCTGGCGCCAGCTCTCCTAGGAAGATTCCTGGCGCTCACCCTTCCAAGCTGTTGAAGAAACAGCTCAGCCTACCCCTCGGTTGGGCCCCACATGAGTGGGCAAGGGCAGCTGTGGCCAGTGGCCGCTGGAGAGCGCCTGCCCAGGTGGCAGGAAGTGTGAGCTGGGCCTCCCATCCAACACTGCCTGGAGCTCGCGGCTGATCCCGGGAGAGCTCACCCACTCAGCATGCACTCCAGGCCGCAGCCACAAGAAAGCAATTAAGGGCCCGCTGATGGGGCTGGAATTATTCAGCTATTAAGGTACCTGATAAGCTGGAAGCCACTCAGCTCCATGATTAATCAACTGGGGCCAGGAGCAGGCAGGGGCAGAGGTGGGGGCTGCTGGAGGGGCAGAGGCGGAGCTGAGATGCTGCTCCGATAGAGGCGTGTGCACTCTGCACTTGTGCGTGCACGCGCACACACACACAGAAGCAAGCACATGAGCAGCCTGCACCCTGGGAGGTATTACTTGCATCTGACCTCTGTGTTTCAGCCTGATGTGAGACCCCCTCACTCCCAATCCTACCTCCTGGTATCATGAGTGCTGCATGGGCACACACACCTACAGGCCCCTCCGCACCCACAGACGTCACCCGTGGGGCCCGCTCTCACAGCCCCACCTCCGTCCCCCAGCCCAAGTGACACGTGGGACCCCTGGCCAGGCCCACTCCTCCTCCCCTCTCAGGGCAAGGTTCCGCTCAGATGGTGGCCTCCACTCTGCTGGCCCTTCACATGGGCAGACCTAAGCGTGCCCTGTGTGGGTGGGGCACATGTTCCGTATGCAGGGCCCCATCCCTGCTTCTGTCAGGCCCCTCCCTCCCTCCCTAGGGCCCCTATTTCCTTCAGCGTCTTCCCAGGTCAAGCTGCCTGACTGACCCCCCCACTGTGGTCCTGCCCATCGGGACAGCCAGAGGGGGCGCTGCACACGCGCTGCCCTTTTCACAGCAGACAGTTGTGATTCACAGCTGCGCAGGGCTCTCCTGAGCCCAGGGCCCCGCCCCCCCTGAAATGGGGGCTCCACCGTGGCCTGTGCCCTAACTGCTCCCCCTCTGCTCTCGCCCCTTCCCTGTCCCTGTGGCTCCCTGCAATTGGCTATAATGTGAAAACAAAACGCATTTCTAGCATTGGCTCTGCCTATTGAACACTATGTTATGGTCCTGTTCCTGATTTAGAAACTTAGTGAGTTGAACAACATCTATTTTTCTCTTGAAGAAAAAATACAGTCAGGCCCTCCAATGTTTCACGCTGCACTGTCCGCCGTGGGAGCCCGCGGGCATGCCCACCCGCCGCTGGCCTGGGTCTTCCCCTGTGAAAGGCTGGGGTGTCTCTGCAGGTATCTGTTACCACACGTGTAAACACCCCCTCCGCCAAAAGGTCCCGCCGCCCCGCCCCCCACACACACCCACACCCACGTGCACACGACCTCAGATCACGCTGTGTTGGGAAGCGGGGACCATGCCCCTCAGGCAGGCGATTACAGATTTAATTAAAAGTGACACAGTAAATAAAAAACATATAAAATGTAATTTGTGTGGGTAGCGAGGGGTGACTGGGGAGGGCGGTGTGGCTCCTGTTCTAATTAGTGTGCCTGTTGGTGATAGTGCCCCTCGACTGGCTCGGGCAGGTGGGCTGGGGGCAGCCTGCAGGGGGCCTGGAGGAGCATCCTTCCCCATGCCCCCGACAGTACCCAGAGGCCTAGCTGGTCCTGGGAGTGGAGGCGGTCCTGGGGGTTTCCTATACTCTCCAGCCTAAGCAATACCTCTGGTACCTTTGCCCCAAGGTGCTCAGACCAGTGGGCCCCTGGAAATCTGAAGCTCCACTGCAGGCGCCAATAGGACCGTGTCAGAACCAACAGGCCCAGGGCCTTAAGTCCTGCTCTTCGAGCTGCTCACACGTTTGACTCTTGGCCTCTTCGCATTATAACTCCCGAGATATTCAGGAAGTTGCTCCTCAGAGCTGACCCGAATCCTTCCAGCTATAGCAAGCTGGTTTCTCCATTGTGCAAAGCTGCCTGTGATGGGGCTGGGAATTTCAACCATCCTCTTAATCCCTTGACTGGTACCCACCCCCTGGCTGCTTGGGGCTAGAAACCATCACCCCTAGCTTTGTGAGTGAAGAGTGGCTTCCTTTCCTCTGGCTCCTGGGGGCAGCTTCTCAGTTACTCCCAGTGGGGCCAGGGAATAGGGGAGGGTGGCGAGGACCTGCTGTGGGAGACTCGGCCCTGCATGTGGGGAGGTGTGTGCATGCATGTGTGCGTGTATGTGCCTGTGCATACATGCGCTGTGTGTGCCTGTGTGCCTGTGGGTTGGAGACCGTGCACACACAGGTAGAAGGCTCAGTGTTCTGCAGCCTGCACAGGGTCTGCAGGAGGCTCTGCCTGTGAGTGGCTGGATGCCTGCATGTGGGTGAGTCTGAGAGGTGAGCATGAGTGACCTCAGGTTGGGGGCTGCAGGAAGACGGCACTGAGATTGTCTGGACAGAGAGGCTTGTCCCCAGGGCAGGTGAGAAGGACCGACTCCATTGCGTGACACACTCACAGCCTTTGTAGATGTCTGTGGGGATCTGCACGGCCGTGTATGAATAGTTGACCTTGTTCTTGAAGTTTGGGTCCTCGATGAAGTCCAGCCTCAGGGTGCTGCTCTTGGACCCTCTCTCCACATCCTCACTCTCGGGGTCGTCCTGCAGAAGACCCCCCACCCCACCCCAGCAGTGTCAGGGCTGGAAAATGGTGAGTGGGTTGGACAAGCCTGCAGGCAGAGGCAGGGAGGGTCAGAGTCCAGGAAATGGGCATCTCAAGAGCAGAGGGTATTGCAAAGACAAGAAGAGACAGATGGGGAGATACAGGGGCAGACGGACATAGGGCATGGACTCTTTACCCCACCTCCCATCCATTGCTCAAACCGAGACTCTGAAACCAAAACCCAACTGACCCCTTCCCCACATCCTTGAAACTCATGATTAGTGAAGGAGGCAAATAGCGAAGCAAGTTAGAGGAACAGGCAGTACACTTCAGCTTACAAAGATGTGCCTTGTGCAGTCACAGGGAGGAGCTCTGCGCCCCCACACTCCCCACTGGGTCCTGCGTGGAGTTCCTTTGGCACTGGGGAGAGGGCCCTAGTCCCACCGGGGGCAGGGGTAACACCCTCAGCTGCGGAGCAGCTCTAGAAGCTGAACTGGGAAGGCTGACCTCCAGGAGAGCTGGGGGCGGGGGCTAGCACTGAGACCCGGGGGCTCCAGGAGGAGGCTCTACCGTGCCTGCTACCCGCAGGACCGTTAGGGCCCCTGTTGATTTTCTAAAATGAGCCGCAGCTGCCTGACAGGTGCCAATTATGGTATCTTGTGGCCAGGCAGGCTAGGCATGCGCCGTGTGCCCCCGCCCACCACCACAGGCTGGCTGGCAGGAGTGGGTCTGTGACTAGTGTGGATGCCGAAGCTGGGGTGGGGGCAGGCTTGGCTGCAGGTGCGTGAAGGGGCGGGTGGAGGTAGACGGTGAAAGCAGAGAGGAAAAGCCAAGCGGGGAGGCAAGGGAGAGACGGAGACCGAGGCAGGGAAGGAAGCAGAGCTGAGGACTTGGAGCCCAAGCAGTCAAACACCGCCCCACCCTGTGATGACCCCCTGCCGTGCTCACAGTACCCTGGGCAGGCCTGGTCTCTTGAACTCTCCCTCTGTGTCTGCCCAGCCTGGGTCTCCTCTGGGGAGAGGGTGACTGTACCTCTCCACCCAGCCAGATGCAGAGACACTATGCTGAAGCACCCTTTTCATCCCTCCCGGGTGGGTTTATTTTATTTGTAGGGTGGTAGGGATTGAACACAGACCCTCCTTGCACTTGGTAGGCAAACACGCTACCTGCAAATTCTGGCTGTTCTACAGCCCTCCCGTTGCCCCACCTGGTATGCCACCTTCTGCCTACGCAGAGCCCCCGGAGGGGGGTAAAGCAGGGCAGGGAGCCGCTGAGCACTCGGACCAGAGCCGGGCCGGGTCTATGAGGCGTGCAGCACTCACATTCCACTCGGGGGAGGAGGAGGCGCAGGAGAAGAAAGCCCCGAAATGTCAGCGGCAGATGAAGGGTGCTGGAAAATTTAATCTCCCAACTTTCCCAACTAATGTGACATTTGGATTCTGTTCTGATAAGCTATCAGCTGGCGAACTTTTTCCTTCCTTCTCTTTCCCCCACCCCCACCTTCTGGCTGGTAATTTAAAAGTAAATGGTCTAGAAAGATCTCTAACTGTACCTCTGGCAAAGATTAAAAAAACAAAACACCACAGCGAGCAAGGGAATCAGCAAACGTGTGCACGCTGTTATTTGTGCCCGGCTCTGGCTGTCACAGCCCAGCCCTGCCCGGCGTGAGTCTCCTGGACTGGGCGGACCCCAGCAGCCAGCGGATGGCCAAGGGGCGGGGGCAGAGAGCGGTTTGGAACCACGGGGCGGGGTCCTGGCTGGCGCTGGGGGCTGCTGGGAGCAGTCAGTAAAGGGTGTCCTGGGAGGGGGCAGGCTACCAGGCTGGCCACGGAGCCCGTCAGGGCCACCCCAAGGCTGGGGGTTTGTGTGGTGGGCCACTGCAGTCTCCCGGTTTATATTTAATGCACTGATTGCTAAAATTACAGCCCGCTGCCGAGGGGGGTAAGGAATTAGATTCAGGGTCTAATTAAAGGTTCGTTCTTCATTTGAATTTCAGATTCCAGCTTTAATTTTAGCAACTTCTCCGGGAGCCACAGAGCTCAGCCAAGGGGAAGCGCACCTGCTTGAGCCCGCCCTCCTCCTCGGCCCCTGCCCGCCCCAAGGCTCTCCTGGCGACCTGGCATCTCTGCCCTGCTCAGGAACCCTTTCTGGCCTTCCCCTTGTCGTGTCCTGAGATACGTCCAGCTCGTCACAGAGAAGCCCCAAGCCTAGGCCTGGGAGAGGAAGACTGGGTCTCAGGCCTTCTGCAAAAGCAAGCACAGGTGGGTCCCACAGACTGCACCACTGTGATGCCTCGGTTTATGTGGGGGACAACTGAGTCCGACCACTTTGTCTTAGATTCAGGCAGAGGGACTTGGGCCTTGACAAGTCCACCCGGCCTTGTCTACTCCCAGCGCCAGCGCCCTCAGACCCTCTTGTCTTTTCTGGAGCCACCTCCTCCTCGTAGTCCTGTCTCTATCTTTCACTGAGTCCTCTGGCGATGGGGAACTCAGTACCTCACTGGAAGCCCAAGTAGACCTGGGCCACAAAGACACGCAGTGAGAGACACAGAAACAGAAAAGCAGTGTGGCTCAGTCCCAGCGAAAGCACTTCTGCGGGAGATGACCGCAGCTGAGGTGAGCCTGACTGCAAGAACCGGTACAGGAACTGGTCTGCCTCTTTAGCTGGGGCGATATGGCTGAGCTCAGGGCCGAGCACTGACCACAGGGCCAGGCTGTGGGGTGCTTAGTGTACTGACGCTGTGCTGGCCTCATCAGAGGGAAGGGAGCCTTCTCTGGCTTGGACAGGCACCTGGGTGTGTGCATGCTACCTCCACCCTGCTACTGCTCCTGCTCTCCCTGCACTCAGGGTATCCAGCCCTGCTCCATCATGGGGCCTGAAGTGCCCTGCGTGGGGAGGCTGGGGGTGCCCGTCATCCTGCCTAGGGAAGGGACCGTGCCCGCCACGCAGCGCTGTGAAGCCCAGTCCATTTGAGGCCGCAGAGACACAGCCCTGGAGGTGCTGGGACCTCGAGGGAGTCGTGAGAGGCGGGGAGCAGGGTCTGCAGGGTTGATCCCGGAACACTGAGCGCTGGGTCTTGACATCCATTTCACAGCTGAGACTACTGAGGTCCAGAAGAGGGGCTGTGGCTCTGGCAGCTTGGGGAGGGGTACTTACCAGCTCGGCATCAGCCTTGGCGTCGTAGTACATGATGTCTTCCTCCTGGTGAAGGGAGAGAGGCCTCAGCACCGACCGCTCAGCGGCTCCTGAGACACAGCTGGACCGCGAGAGTCCTCTGAGACAGAGGCGGTCCGCTTTCCCATCCACAGCTGTCCTCCTGGAAGGGCTGGATGAGCTGGTGCTGGCAGCTGCCCACCCCGATCCTGGTCAGGCCAGCCCTGGGAGGGGTGCTGTGTGCCAGCCCTGCGGGAGGCAGGGTCAGAGCCCAGCCGGGCTGCAGAGGTGCTGCTGCGGCAGGAAGGGGAGCGAGGGAGATGGAAGAACAGAGCCGAGCTCGGGCAACAGTGCAGTGATGACTCGCCGCCGCATCTTCCAATTTCTTCTATTAAAAAGCCTGCTCATTACGGGCATGTACTTATTAATTATCTGTGATTTGTTGTGAAATGCAAAGGGTTTACACAACGGGAGCAGGAGAAAACAAAGCCCGGCCCGCACGCCCGCCTCCCGGCCCTGCCTGCCCGTGCCCGCCAGTCCTCACGGCCGGTGCCTGCTGCCGGGGTTCCTGGCCATCTGCGCTGTCATAATCACTGGCTGCCCTGGGGACCCATAACACAAACGGGCTAATTTCATGTTTAATGATCTTTAATCAGAACTGCGCGTGGCTGACAGAGGCCGCCAGAAGGTGAACCTGGTGTCGGCAAGTGCCACCTGCTTAGGAGGGGCCGCCCCACCCTGCCCTGGTGGGCTCAAGGGCCAGGGCCACTGTCCAAGTCACCCTCCCTAGGTGCACTTCAGCCCTGCTCATATAGCAGAATCCTGCAGCAGGGCCTCACCCGGCAGGTTTCTCCCCGACCCTTCCTTGCTAGTACTGCACTTGGGTTTTTTTTTGTTGTTGTTGTTGTTTTTCCGGTACCGGGAATTGAACTCACAACCTTGCGCTTGCCAGGCAGGCACTTTTGCCATTGAGCTAAATCCCCAGCCCTACGTTTGTTTTTTTTAAAAGATATGGTCTTGCCACGTGGTTCAGGCCTGTCTTGAACTTATTCTGTAGCCCAGTAGCACAGGCTGATCTCAAACTGATCTCCTGCCTCAGCCTCCCCAATGCTGGCATTACAGGCGTGTGCCACCATGCCTGGCTATACTTAAGTCTGAACCCTGGAATTTCTCACTGAGCTACATCCCCAGCCCTTTTAATTTTTTTTTTTCCCTACAATTTTGGGACAGGGTCTTGTTAAGTGGCTAAGTTGCCCAAGCTGGGGTCAAACTTTAGATTCTCTTCCTTCAGGCTTCCAGAGTGCTGGAATTACAGGCATGTGCCACCACTCCTGTTTCTTTGCAGCCTGTAAACAGGCGTGGTGGCCCAGTCGGCAGCAGGGGCCAGTACTGGGGAATGTCCCAGTGAGCGGTCTGGTCTGTCTTGCACCAGAGGCTTTGGGGTGCAGGCCACCAGACATGTAGGGTTGGTCCACGTGCTCTGGAATAGTGACTGCGTGCCTGGCACCATGCTTGGACACAACCGCAACCTCCCAAAGAAGACCTCCCAGGGGCCTGCAGCGTCTGCAGCGTCTGTAGTGCTATGTCTGCCACTTCCTCACAACGGCCCTGCGACATCAACATACAGACGACATCAGGCCTGGGGGGCGAAGCTTTGTCCCCCGGCTCTGACCTGTTCTCTTAACTCCTCTCCAAGCTCACCCACCCCCTGCCACCAGCCAGCTGTCCAGGGAGACTGGGACCAGGTGGACCTGGTGGGGGCTGGGGTGGGGCCCAGGCTCCGGGGTGCTCGGCCTTTCCCCGAGCCGGCTCCGACTGAAGCACATAATGAAAGCTGACATTACATCAAACACAATAAGGAGTTTCGGTTGATGAAGATCATTCCTGAACACACAAACCCATTAAACTGAGGGGAAAAAAATATCAATTCAACACACTCACAGGCGAAAAGAAAATGTGATTTGTTATCTAAAAGGGGGTTATAAACACGGCTCTGATGCTCTTTCCCTTCGTAATGAAAACAGACGGGCATGGTGAGAGGACTGCAGACTGCAGCCTGGCGCCCTACGCACTAACTTTTTAGGCAAAGCTTTTGCAAGGACGGAAAAGGGCATGGGTAGGGGCTGGTCATTCTCAGCCCCCCAGGACCCCTGGCTGCCCTGCTGGGCTTGGCAGTGACCTGCCCGTGCCTGGGTCACCCCTGGGATGATCTGGAACTTACGTGGGTCCCCTCTCCAGCTGCTCCAGGGGTTCATTTCTGTATCTGTCCTACCTTTTCACAGTTTCAGTGGGAGATCAGGTGTTGGTGGCATTAGGGACAAAAAGGAATGTTATACAGGATTCTCAGCCTCCTGTAACCCCCGCGCCCCGCCTCCACTGGGCTTGGGGCATGCGGGCAGGACTTATTTCACTACCCTTGCTTTGAGGAGGGTCAGGCCATACCTTTTTCTTAAATTACTCATTTTTTTTGTTTGTTTGTTTGTTTTTTTTCCGGTACCAGGAATTGAACTCACGACCTTGCACTTGCCAGGCAGGTGCTGTGCCGATGAGCTAAATCCCCAGCCCCTTCTACCTTTTTCTTGATAGGGAGGAGTGGTGGCCAGTGGTGGGCAAGGTCATGAAAAAATACTCTAAACACAGCTGTGATGCTGTGTGTGACAGGACGTGAGCTGGGGGTATGGTGGCACAGGGCAGCAGGCTTGGGAGGAAGGTCTCCAGGGAGGCCTCTGTGCCTGCTTCGGCCTGCATAGTGCCCTGAAGTCCACATCAGTGTCTTGCTTCCTGGTCACACACCAAGGAGGCAGTATGATGTAAAGAATCAGTGCAGGGGCCGTGGCAAAGGGTTCTGGGTTCAAATTCTGACCTAGATACCTGTAAGCTCTGAGCCGGGAATAATAACTAAGGCTGTGTCTCGAAGGCTCCTGCCTAAGGCTTGTGCGCCTAAGAACTCTCGGGAACCACCCCCATCCCACCGACGAGGCAAGGCCGCCTGCTTGATTGTGCAGCCTCACAGGCCTTATCGTCTTGATTTCCCCTTACGAATCAGATGATGATGTCTCCTGCAGGGCATGTCTCCTGCAGAGCCAGCCTCACCAGGGGGCAGAACCCAGCCGGCCCTCGGTGGACCCTCACACAACTTCACAGCCTGCAGGAGGGGCTGAACGTGGAAAAGACCCTGTGGGGTGAACGGGTGTCCTTAATGCCTGAGGGCTGCCCCGCTGACCCCGACCCTGATACTCTAGGGACTATTTTTCTCAAACTAGGCAAGAGTAGGGGAATTGCCTCACACCCCAGCTCGTAGCATGACCCACCACATGGACCTGTGCACACAGGGAACAGGCTGCTGTGCACCTGAGTACCGGACACAGCCACTCCTGAGCAGAAGCCACGCCCACAGGGCGCAGGGGAAGGGTGAGGAGGGGTGGTTAGGGTGAGCAGGGGCTAACAGTTGTCACCCAGCTTTGGTGCACGCAGTGGCTGCCAAGGCCGGCCAGACACGCCGCCGCTCCCTACCAGCCCCTGTGCAGGGCCCAGGCCAGCCACTTGGCTGCACGAACGAGGATGCTTGGCCTGCCTGGCCTGGCCCACTGCCAAATCAGCTCAGCCAAGAGGACTATTTTCTGAGAGAGCCGTCTGTCGCCGGCTTGGCAGAGAGGCAGGCAGTGGGCCCTATGGCTGGGTCAAACCCTCAGGCCGAGAAGGCCACCTGTCCTGGCCAGCCAGCTCCTCTGCCTGGCCCTCTCTTGAAAGCCCTCCCTTTAGGTCCCTGAGGCAGAGCTTCAGATTCCTTTAAACTCCCCAGAGCAGGGCTGTTTCCTCTATTACACTCCCAGTGAATGGTTTTATCTCCTACCGTAGGGCCTGGTGTTGGCACCGAGGCCCTGGGGCCAATAGCTTCTCCTCTCTCCCCGCACCCGTGCCTGGCCCAGGTCCTTCCTGGGGGTGGTTTAGGTGGCACACAGTGCTGGCATGGTGTAGCACTGGCAGCAGGCACTGTCACAGGTGGCCCATCGTCATCTACCCTAAGTGTTATAGGTACCAAAGCACCTGCGGCCCGTCTGCAGGACTGTGAAGGTGCTGCCTGCTGATCAGGGCCACGGTTTCCCTAGAGTGCAACAGTCTGAGGGGCTAGGGCTGTGCTACAGGTTATACGCCCCATCACGTCCAAGGGTGTGCGGATATGGCCTGAGATCAGGGACATTCAGATGTCACCCTCTTATCCTACCCCAGCTGTGAAGCAAACTCCAGGATCTCCCACGTCCTGGCTGCGCGGGGGGGGGGGTGTGGTGGGGTGTGTGTGTGTGTGTGTGTGTGTGTAGCTGTACCATCGTTGTCTGTCCCTCAGATGTGTGAATGCCTATCTGGTGTGAGCTGTACACATAGGGAGGGCCACACCCTACTCCTGCTCCATGAATTCTAGCCTGGCCCCACGAGCCAAGGGCCCCTTCTGTGCCTGGAACTGATGGGTGCCACCTTCCCCACTCACAGGTAAGAAGCCCACTCCTACTTACTCTGCCAACAGGGCACCAGACTGGGCACATGGGTGGGTGGGGGTAGCACTGGAGCAGGCCTGGCTGCTCCTGAGCTGGAGGAGCTGGGGGTGCGGGAGACAGCACCGGGCACTACCTATGACAAGGTACCAAGGGGACCCTGCAGGCTGCGGGGCTGATCTGGGCTTGGACTGTAGGCCGGGTCCTGGGCTTTGCCTTTTGCAGGCAGGTAAGAGTATTCTGGGAAGCCCAGGCTGGGCAGGGGCCTGTGCTTGAGGCTGGAATTGCAGCACAGGCCAGGTGTCACGTGTGGGGAGTGGGAGAAACACGGCTCCTGGTCTGTCATCTCAAGGTCACTGGGAAGGACAGGATTTCGGAGGTGGTGTGTGGCTGCAAGGGACAAAGCGGTACCCTTCCCAGTCTCTGTCCTGCGCCCCCAGCAGGGCCCCCGCTGGCGGCTCTGCTGCCTGCCCTCCCTCCCTGGCAGCCAGGCAGTGCTGCTGCTGGCAGCTAACGGGCCCCCTCAGCACTAATGCCTTGCCGCCTGGCCGTCCCGGGCACAGCAGAGCTTCCTGGGAGCAGCGGTGGCCCTGCCGTTGGTGGGAGTGGTGACCACAGCTCCCTGCTCTGAGTGTTTTTGGCGGTAGCACGGACAAAAGGCAGGCAAGTGATGGGCTGCAGAGGGGAGGGCAGGGAGCGTCAGGCCAGCCAGGCTGGGCCCCGCTGGCCCTGGAGGCAGCGCTTTCTGTGGCCACCCTAGAGCTGCAGCCCCTCTGGTGAAACGGGACAATGGGCAGCTGGAGTTCGCTCCTGCCTCCTCTCAGGACATAAGCGTCAGGGCCCAAGGGCAGCAGGTGTGGCCAGCGATGCACCAGGCCACCGCCAACTAGGCACCATACGTGTGGTGTGTGACCCCTTGAGATGCTCCACCTAAGCTGACAGGAAGCACAAGCGCCAGCCGGCCTCACGCCACATGCAGATAGCGAAGCCTTGGGAAGTGTGACCCAGGGTGCGGGAGTCTCTGAGGAGCACCTCTCCGCACCACCCGGGCGTCCCGGAGCCCCGGCCTCCTTCCTGCCCCTTGCTGCCCACCCCTGCCGGAATAAGCTGCTCCTGCCTCAGGAAACGGCTGCAATGCAGGGCACAGAGGGCTTCAGGAGAGCTCTGGGAAATCCTGGGTTTTCTACAAGATCAGGAAGAGAAAACAGGTTTGGAGCCACGGTAGTCTCTTCGTCTCCCCGTTGGGGGCCTGGTCTGGCAGGGAGAGGAAGGCAGGTACAGGGCAGGTCTTTTCACTCCCGGATTGCCTGAGCCCTGTGTGCCCGTTGTCTCTCTAGGGGACGGCAGCGGTGGGGCAGAACGGGGAAGAGATGAGAGGACTGGGCAGGAGCTGAGGGTGCTGGATGCCCAGAGAGCAGAGGAGCTGATAGGCTGTGCAGAGAGTAGCTTTGTAGGGAAGAGGTGAGCTGCACCTCCAGGAGGCATGGAGGGTGTTTCAGAGAGCGGGGGGAGGGGGGTGGGGAAGAGGGAGGGGGGAGGGGGAGGGGGAAAGGGCCGAGGTCAGCATGAGCGAAAGCCCAGGGCAGGAAGTGGCCTGGAGTGCAGTGTTCAGTGTGGTGCCGCACCAGGGAAGCGGGCCAGGGAGTGAGGCTGAGGGGGGCAGGAGCAGGCACTTGACCTGGCCCGGGCCTTGCATGTGGAACTGCCAGGGAGGGGTGATCTGGAGGTGGCATCATGGTCTGAACGGTGAGCCGGGGGCCCAGGGCCCAGGACGGCTGCTCGTGCTGGAGTGGGGAGGGAAAGAAGGGTCCGTCTTCTGGCCCCTGGCAAGGGGCTCGGGTTAGGGAGTCACTCACTCATTTATTTTCTCATCAAAAAGCACCTGTTGCCCCCAACCCCATGTGAACCCAGAACCCAGCACCCAGCAAGGGCAGAAAGTCACGTGTGGGCAAAGCAGGGCAGCCTCAGGGATGGGGGCGGGAGACAGAGGTCACAGGCAGGGCCCCTGACTCCAGACATCCAGCTGTGAATCTGCCAGCAAGAAGGGACCTCGGGTGGGTCTCAGCGCTCTGTGCACGCCTCATCAGATAAACACAGTCCCAGCCCGACCTGGCTCCTAGGGTGCAGCAGCCTGACCCAGAACTGAGGGGAGGCAAGGAGCTGTCCACCCCCACACTGCGCACTGGTCCCAGGTGTCACCTGTGTCTGCAAGGGGACCACCAGGAGGCATGGCCAGACACGAGGGAGCCCTGCCCAGAGTACGCTCCTTGAGGGTTCCATTATCCTTGGCATCAGAGCTCCCCCAGGTCCGGAACAGCCTCGGTTCAGTCTGACACTGCCCAGCGGGAAGGGTGTCCTCACTCCAACAGGAAGGGTGTCCTCACTCCAACAGGAAGGGTGCCCACACCCAACAGGAAGGGTGCCCACACCCAACAGGAAGGGTGTCCAGCCTCAGCCAGGAATTGGCTGGTGAGGTGCCTTGCCTCCCCCTCTGCTTCCAGCGCCTTGCAGCGTGCTCCAAAGAGTCTGAGCCCCTTCAGGACCTTCTTGGCAGGAAAAGCTTTTGTGACTGCAACAGCCTAGTCTCCGGCCCGGCCTGAGGGCCTCTTGGTAGGACAGGCTGCGGCTCAGGGCAGGGCAGGGAGACACAGCAGCTTTCCCAACCTCTCCTCCAGGCCCTGCACTGATGTCTTGGACGAGTTGTCAAGAGGCTTCTATGACCAGGGGCTTGTCAGGAGTCTGGGCATCTCCTCTGGGGCGGCCACTTGACAGCAGGCTGTCCACGGTCCCCCCCCGCCCCGGGCTGACACTGGGGCTGATGCGTACACTCAGTGCCTCAGTACGGAGGGAGCCTGGGAACTGTGCTGAGCATAGGGCAAAGGTTCTGGCTCCACTCAGTGGCTCCCCGGTGCCCTTCCAGTGGGTCTGGGCAGTGCCCCCCCCACTCTGTCCCTGGTAGGGTGGTACGCCCTAGGTGCTAGGGAGGGTGCTGTGCTCCTTACCTTGATATTGTCCTGCCAGCGGTGGGCTTTCTGGAAGGTCTCTGCAGCATCGGCCAGTCTCTGAGGGACAGAGCACACGGAGATCAGAGGCTGAGGCGGGCTGCTTGTTCCACGGCCGCCCCAAAGCCTTCTCCATTCCCAGTCACCCTGGGGTCAGGCTGGCTCCAGGCCGCCCCTCTCCTGGCCCCACTAGACCCCAGAAACTCCTCAGCCCTGACAGCACCCAGCTTGCTGTGAGGGCACGCCCTGACCACAGCTGGCTTCTTAGAGAGTGGGTGGGCCGCACAGGACAGCCTGAGTGGCTTCCTCGGGGTCTTCAGCCCAGTAGTGTCTCCGGCCCAGAGGATGGCAGCAGCACCCACCGGGCAAGCCCCACTCCACTCTCTGTCCTCTGCAATCTAGTGTTCCCGCGCCCGTCAATGTGAGATCCCACGGGTTACACGGTGCCTTGCCGACGCTCTTTGCCAGCGGGGCTGCGGGGAGCCCACCTCCGCCCAGCCAGGCCAGTATCCCTCTCCAGGCTTCCTGAGTCCCTCCCCAAGGGCTCCCCAGCTCTGTCCACACAATCCTGCCCTGTCCTTTGGAGCTGGTCCCAGTGGCCTCTGCCTGTGAGCCTCACCCTGCCCCCCCTGCCCCTGGGCTTGCTTGCTGCTGGGCTATGCTGAAGTGTGAAGACACCGCCGACTCAGCCCTGCCTCTCACACACGACCGGGAGGGGGACAGCGACACATGAGTGGGGTAGCAGTGACTGATGTGCGGAAGGCTCCATGCTGTGGGAACGGGGCAGGAAGGCTGTGGAGGAGGTGCCCAGGCCCAGCCGCCCTCTTGCCTGAATCTGGCATACCCTGGGTCCCGTCTCTCAGGATGCCTGGGGGCCCCAGAGGAGGGAACTGAGTCTGTGCCTCTGCAGAGCCGAGCGCAGTGATGTCCTGCTAACCCTAATGACAACCAGTACCGCGGGCCACCCACCACCCGCCAAGACTCCTCCAGCCAGAGACACATGGACACCGCTTCTTGTTCACTGTGCCCGACATGGCGTCATTAGAGCCCTTCCTCCGATGAGTACACCCAGGCACAGAACAGCCAGCGGCCTGCCCACGACTGCCACACACAGTCCGCCTTTGCCTCCATCAGCCGTGACCAAGATCGCGATCCCAGTCAGGCAGGCAGCTGTGGCTCCTCAGGCCTGCCCCGCCGTCCCGTGGGTGCAGTATGGCCCCGCCTCCAGGCCGCCAGCCCTACTCAGAAGGTTCTGTTCTCCTGGCGTTCAGGCCACCATGTCCCCACCCATCAGTCCAGGCCTGATGGGGCCCATGGGCCTGAGCGCAGGGTGTAACAGAGCATGACAGCTGCCCACCAGGGGAGGTGGGAGCCAGGACACAGGAGACCAGCCTCTCCTCTCTGACATGTGGAACGACAGCGGGGGGCAAGAGGGACCCTGTATGGAGCTGTGGCCACCACTCTCCCGGGCAAGGAGTCAGCCCTGGGAGTTAGAGAGGCTGTCAGCACCCTCCTCACTTCTGCTGGGCCTGGCTCCCCCTCCTCAGACTGACACACTAATGGTGGGAAAGCTGCGGCTGGGACCCAGGGACAGGGTGAGAAAGTGACTCTCAGCCTCACAATGCTGGCCTCTCCTGGCCTCTGCCACCTTTTCCTGTGGAGCCTCTGCCTGCTGCCTACCCTTCACAGCAGGGCCTCTTGGGTGGGACTCACACTGCCCCTAACCCAGTCTTGCACTCAAGGGGCTGCAGGGACCACTGGACCCTTTGCTCCATGAGGCCTCCACGAGTCTTGTCCCAGTCTTGCCACTCCCCCGACCCTGCCCCAGCTCCTTGGGATGGGCTTTAGTGCGCCTGAGTCGTAGCACCCCCTTGGAACAGGCATACCCACCCTGGCCCCTCTGCTTCACCGCCCAGTCCTGACAGCAGTAAGCCACTTGCTGCTCACCCCCAGGGTCTGTTCTGCCTCAGGAACCGCATCCTCTCATGTCCTCTCGTACCGACCCTCCGCACAGCGCCGAGCCACATCTCAGAGCAGAGGTGGGCCATCGGCCGTCCTCTGCCCCGTCCCTTCAGCAGCTCCTTACACTTAACACACAGAAGGTAACACTTTCCTGAGGCCCGAAAGGGCCCACCTGTGCCTGACCCCGAACCCTCCTTTTCCACACCAGGAGGCTTCCTCTTGGCCTAGACCGAAAATACGCCCCTGGGCCCTAACCCCTAGGCCTAGGTGAAGTCCCCAAGTCATAGCCTGCAGCGCCCTTCTGTGGAGGGTATAACAATGCAGGATGGCTGCTCACGAGAGGAGAGGGAGCCGGGACACGGGAGACCAGCCCGTGAGGCACATTTTCCAGCACTTGTCACTGGTGTCAGCTGAACAGCTACTAAGCACTTGGCCTGGAAGATCTGGAAAGCCCAGGGAGGCAGCCCCAAGGGTGCATCTCGAGGTGTGACCCTTGGGTGATCACTATGTCCCCCCTTTCCTTACCAAGAGATCCATTACCTTCCCAGGGATCCCTGGGCTACCTCAGAGTGGGCCCGAGGCCCACACATGGCTCTGAAAGGCCGCTGTCCTTCTCAGGGCTGACCTTGGGATAGAGATGAGTAAAAGGTCAGGTCTCTCACCATAGAAAAGCCACAGGACAGATGGGCCTGCAGAGTCAAACTGATGCTATTGGAAGTCTCTGAACTGGGCTGTGGCCGTGAGGAACTGTTCCCTGCACCCCTCCATCCATACCTGGCCAGGGGGCGGCAGCTCTGTCATTCTCACAGGGCTCAGCTCGGAGCCTAGGGCTCACAGGCACAAGAACGTGGGGCTGCAGGCCCCTCTGGCTCCATGACTTAGCAGACAAGGTGAGGGAGCCCCAGAGAAGGAAGGCCCACCCCCAGCTCCCTTGAGCTCTCAGAGTCCCGCGAGCTTGAAGGGCCAGGTCAGCCCGATGACTCGTGAATAACGGAGTTGCAATAGCCACAGCGAAAGGATTACTTTTAATCCTCAGTAACGATCAAGCCATTATTATTTTTTCGGTGTTACAGATCAATCAGTCCATCCCTGGGCGCTGGGCGTGTGCAGACTGCTAACAGGCAGGCCTAGTGCTGCGTGCAGACGGGCCAGGCAGCTGCATGGGGTGGAGTGGGCAGAGAGCGGGGGCCTGAGGTCCCCAGCCAGAGGGTGAGAGGCCTAGCGCTGCCTACCGGGATCCAGAGAGGGAGTCACAGCGGGGGCCCTGGGCTGGGATTAAAGCCTCTTCCTCAAGCAGTGGCTTCACCTCTGTGGCCCTCAGGATCCTGCAGCGACCGCACCTACTCAGTGGGCAGGTTCTCGGCCCCAGCAGCTGTTCTGAGGGTCCTGCCCACTAGGGTTTCTCCGGTGGGCACTTCCCCAACTCTAGGCCTTTCTTTTGTACCCACTTTCTCTGCTGGTCAGCCCTACTGGACTGTGTCGCCTTCTCTGGAAGCTTCCTTTTGTCCTTGTTCAGCCCCTGGGCATCCCCTCCCCTCAGCCAGGGACCTCCACGTTTTGCCCCACGTGCCTAACCCAGGTGAGATACTCAGAGCCTTGGGGTCCTGCCTCAGAGAGCCCACAGTGCTCAGGTCTGCTCAGGGACGGCCAGGAGGCCATGCTCACACTGCCCTAGTTCATCCTGCTCGCACTTCCCTCCTACTTCTCCTGTGCCATCCTGATGTCAGGGTGGGAAGGAAGGAAGCTCAGAGGGGAGAAAATACCGACTAGGGTGCCTAGCCAGGCAGGGGGGCTGAGCAGGAGTCCCGGCTTGGTCCTGTCCCCAGGGTGCCTGCTGTTCCCAGCCCTGACCACGAGTACCAGTCCTTCTGGGACTCTTACACTTGTACAGGACCCTGCTCAGGACCTGGACTCTGCCCTCAGAGCCACCTGCAGGCCCCTGCCGTCCTGGTCCCAGGCCCCTGCCGCTCCCTCCCTGTTCACGCCTGCTCAGAATCTTCCAGCCTGGTTCACTCCCACGTCCTGCCAGGGCCCCGCTCAGGGAACCCTCTGCCGAGTCTGCCTTCCCCTTGAATTCTGAGCTCGGTGGGGGCAGTGTCTGGTGGCTTTCAAGCTCACAGTCATCTGGCCCCTGTTATGCGGCAGGTGCTCCATCGATGTCTGCTCTGTCAAGGTCAGGCCCTCTCTGGGCCTGTGCAGAGCCTGGGCTTGAGTCTGGCTCTCCCAGGCCAGCTATGGAACCCCAGGCCTGCGGTTAACCTCTTTGAGCCTCTTTTCCTCGCCACATCCTGGCGGGTGAGGGATGTCTGCGAGGACGCCGCTGCTACGAAGTCACCGACAGTCCTGCCTGGCCTGCGTGCCGCATCATGGCCATGGCACTGGAGGGGACCGTGCTGGGCTTGCTGAGCAGCACTGCTCACAGCCATCATGGTGACAGTGAGCCTTTCAGAGGCAATTATCAGAGCTTCCCCTAACAATCAGTTTCCCCCGGCTCTGGGAACCACTCCTACAAGAAAAGGCAAGCAAGAAGAGGGTGGTCAGGGCACCGGGCTGGGGACAGTACCCCCGGGAGCAGCCCCTCCACTAGCACCTCTGAATTTCATGAGTTAAACATCTTTGAGTTCAGGGAGCTGCGGCAATGATGTGAGATAAGGGCCAGTACCTGGAGGGCGAGGGCCCCTGCACGCCGGGAGGGGAGAGCCCTTTGGTATGTCAGTCTCTCAGATGCTCCCATCTGGGTGCTCCCCATTGTTCCTTTACCCCCCCCTTTATGGGGACCCCCTGTCCCAAGGATGGGGGATAAGGGGCTAGGGAGCAACTGCTTATCAAATAGGACTTGTTCAGCTGTACAGCCCAGAGGGAAAGCGTGCAAGAGTTTTTTGGTCTTATTGGCTATTGCTACTTCTGCTTTCAAGAGGATACCAGGCTTAGAATAAAAGGCCCTACCCTGCGGCCCAGGATGTGGAGGTCTGGGGCACTGGGCGCTGAGTCAGGCAGAAGCTGTGATGGAGGGAGGAGGCGGGGAGGAGGGAGCTCTGGGGTGGAGGCCTGGGCGGCAAGCCCAGGGAAGAGCACCAGTGCCCTGAAAGCACTGCCGG